AAATATTTTTTCTCTGCTTCCATTTCCAAGGTATTATTCCCAGCTTCTAAGTGTATTTTAGCAAGATATAAATCTTTACTATGATAACCTCCGCGAACACCACTCACAGTTCTCGCATTTTCATTAAGATCAAGGTTAGAAAAATAATATATTATGACCTCTGTTTCAACTAAACTTCACGCATCTCATCCTTTTTCCAATTGTTACTACATGCTATCCTCAGTTCTTAACATTTATTTACCAACTGACTTTTTTCAGTCATTTTCAATTATCACCCATGCTAGTTTTGTTTCTCTACTCTTAACAAACAATGGACCACACAGTTTATATACCAATAAGAATTAATCAAACTACTGTGAAAAGCAAAACTTATCCTCTTTCCAGACTTCACTGCTCCATCCATATGGCTTTATTCCTTGCTTTTGTTGACACTGTTTCAACTTCAAACTCTTCTTCTATTATTGGATTTCGATTCCTTATGAATTGACGGATCCCACTTCTGACACTATTTTGTTACAATCGTGTGATACTTGCATTTCACTTTTTTTTGAGGTTGTACTAATTCCTATCGAGAATTTACTCATACTAATATAAATGAAAAAATACATTTCATTAGTATAATGAACAACACATAGATTTAGTACTAGGTTCTGTTTCTTATTGGCAGCATTTCTTTCACCCTTCCCCTGTCTTCTGTTTATTCGGCATCTCTCACATCTTCCACCGTTCCTTGTTCCTTACGCCTAACTTTTTATATTTTCAACTTCAACTACATATTATGTGACATCTACACTAAATGATTAAATTGTATACGATAAATATTAGGTATATCTTTCCATGAATTTGAACTGCAAATAACCATATATAGGGCATCTACAGCTTAAATGGTGGAGCATGCTCAGAGGCATATCACAACTTTAAGTCTTTAGATCCCCAGCACTGGAAGATTATCGCTAGGCCTTACCTGGCTTATTCTATTGCCCATGTCTCTTGCTTTATCTCTATGTTTCAATAAATAATCTACCAGCTTGTAGAATGTAGCATTTTGTATTTTATGTTCTATGTTTAAAATAAAAATTCCTTTTAAGGAACTGTATTTACTTTGCTAGAATTACATAATTAAAAAGAAAGTATGGATATTACACGTCCATTACGGAGAAAATTGTGTTGTTGTTCTGTTTAAGGTTGATTATGTCAAAAATGTACATTTTCAATAATAAAAGTTTGAAAATCAAGTTTTGATCGAATATACAAAAGTAAAAACAAATATCCAATTATTCGAAGCCTGTAAATTAAGATGTCATTGTTGATAACATTATATTTGAAAACTTCAGAACTTCAGGCTCACACCTTGGTACCATTAACATATGACTTATAAATAAGGTAACTCCATTCAGACTTATTTTCTTTAACATGAGAATTTGAACTTAAAATTTGGCAAGTTTTTAAACAATTGTTTCAATGAGTTCACTTGCTTAAAACAAACTTTTAATAACAATTTCGAATTATCAAACTTTTTCCAATATAATAAGTACCATGGTATTTCTTTGCCATTTTTCATGTAATATCATGGTGTGTTAAACTTGAATGAAGCAAGTTTTAATAACAGATTTAATATTCCAAAATGCATAGTTTCTCAATTGACTCATCATATTTCTCTTTAGAAGACTTTTAGAATGTTCAATAAGAATCCCACTTTCCCTTAAATGGGAATATAATTGACCAAATTTGTGGTCTTCCTAAGAGCACTTGCTGCCACCTTTTTATTATGCGTATTCATGATTCATTATGAAAAAACACGTCTCTTTGATTGTCCAGATCCTTTTAAACATTTGTTTTACAAAAGCTCCGTATAAACAGCACACTTAGTTTTGCAAAATCATGTTAAAAATCTTTTTTTCGCACTATCTAAAATATTGGTGAAATGTCCAATTAACATTGCATTTACCTTCACTTTCACTTCATGCCATTTTTTGCAGGATCTTTGAGCTTAGAACTCTGCTCAGAGAGCTCTGTAATGATTCAATTTCATCTAATGACTTTCGAATTACCTCTTCAATTTGGAGTGAGTATGAATTAAATATGAAGGATGTTATTCTCATCAAGAACCTAAAACTTTATTCAATAAAACTAAAATAATTATAGGAACTTCTTTTCAAGCTATAGGTCTTTGCCCTAAACTTTATTTTGGAGAAAGTGCACTGAAGATTGAGTTCATGTGGAATTGTAATACATGTATAATGACAAATATGACTACATATTTTAAGGTTCAGAATTGCCAAATAATCAACCTTTTGGGTACTTCCTCTATAAATAATTATTTTGTTAGCTAATTTTATGTTGACATTAAATATTCACTAAAACGATGAAAAGTTTTTATAAAGGCTTAAAATTTTTATTATAGCTTAAATGAATAACTTCGTGGATAAAATAATAGTCTCTCGATTCTAGATTATAAATCTTTTTGGATTACGACCTCCTGTAAAGTTGAAGACGATGCTTCGAACTAATAGTGCAAGTTTTCCTTACGTCAAGCATCGCAAGTTATGAGGTGTAATAAATCTAGAAAGAAAGTTTGCCGTGAGAGGTAGTTCAGAAGTGTGGACTCCAGAAAAGTTTTGAATGATACTTTGAAGCAGTTAACGCCTAAATTTCATTTAAAGAAGAAGTGGTTATGAATCGTAACTTGTAAAAACTGTCAAAACTTTAACCACCTTCTTTCCAAGCTTAGTAGCCACCTCACCTTCTACTATAAGTGTAGATATCTCCATATCATCCTACAATGTCTTAAACTACAGCTCCGATCCCCCATTCTTTTCCAGGGACACTTCTTAAAAAAAACTCTTTAAATTTATCATTGATTTTTGTAGAGAGGAGACAAAACTGGCCAACAATAGCTTATTTTACTATTTTCATAGACTCTTGATAGATAAAACCAAACTAAAATTTTCAACTTAATTGACAAGTCCTTTAATCTTACCTCACAAGACCACTAGATGAAATAGAATCAGAAGTTCGACAACACCATTACTGAAAAAGATCAAATTCCAACACTTTCCAAACTAGGATTGTAAATCTAAGCTTAGAAAGCTGAAGAAAAGGGCCTTTCTATTAGTATTAAATTTATTATAACTCCGACAAAACTTTCCAGTATCTAAAGTCACCACAGCTATTTTAGATGCCTCCCAGTAAAATCTTGATAGTCAATGAAAATTGACCTAGATTATTATCTGCCTCACCTAACAATATCACAAGAAACTCACCAAAATATATCCAATCAGAAAAAAAGAAAACAACAATAAAAACACTTGAAACAGGACCTGTGTGTTGTTATTATTCCTGCTCACAAAGGAAACAAACTGTTATACCAACAAGCAACACTACCGAGAACAAAAAAGAAGAAAAAAAACATCATCTAGAACGAACCATAGAAACTTTTGTAAAAAGACCATTTTGACAAACTGAAGTGTGTCACCAATAAACTGATCAAGAAATTTAAACCTGAAAAAGTCAGCAATACCACATTTAACATTATCAAATTACCATAGCTATTCCAGTTTTCCAAGATGCATGAACGATATACTCCAATCAGACCAACTGTCAGTGCTATGAGGTCTCATTTTCATAACCTAGCACAACATATCATTGCACTTAACCATCTAAAGAAAAGTTGGAATCCTGAAGTTGAATAAGTCAAATTACTATCTTAAGATCGCCTCGTGAGTTTTGATATTATAAACAGGTTCTCCAGCACTCCTTCAACCAAAACATTTATTGTGCTTAAAACAAAATACTGAACATACATCCTTAAAACTACAAAACAACTTGAATAAAGACATCATCTTGGAACTCTTTCCATATTGTACTAACAACATTTATTTCAAATATCAAGAAGCTTTATATGAAAACTTTCACAGCCTTTCCACAGGTTCTCCTCAGTCACTCATCCTCAGTGACGTATATAGGGAATACTCTGAAACCATATGCCACCCTTGTACTTTAGATATGTAAAAGTATGATGGTGGCACGTTCGTAATATCTTTCCATAATCTAGATAATTTTAATGATTTTCTAATGCGCTTCAATTCCTGTCACTACAGCACTCAGTCCGCCACGCAACCTGCAAAATGATATCCTTTGTTTTTAGATATTTTCCTAAACAAAAGGCCACTAAGTCCGTGTACAGAAAACAAGCATATTCTACCACATATTTATATCTCTCATCTAACTTACTTTTCTCTGTTAGAAGTAGAATTACGAACTGTCTTTTAGGTTGTGTCAAAAACACTGTGATAAAAGTCAGCTTCAAAAAGAAAAAAAAATACACCTAGAAAAAACCTTCAAGCCAACGGTTTCATCCAAATCGAGAATAATGGGTCTGCCCTACGAAAACCTTAAATGAATATTTTAACCACTACCGTCCTACTGCTTATCCCAAAATTAAGCTACAAGCTTAGAAGAATATGTACCCAACTGAATATTTAATTTACTTCAAATCCAATAGCACATTAAGAATTTATGAAACTAAAATCCAGACTTAAGAAATAAACATATGAATAATATTTACAAGATGTCATATTTTGTGGAAAAACTTACATTGAAGAAACTCTGAACGAACAGTTGCCTCATCCAGACTTGCAGAAATAAACAGATGAATAATATTTGCACGATATATCATATTTTGTGGAAAACATACATTGAAGAAACTGAATGAACAATTACCTCATCCAGACTTGCAGAGATAAACAGATGAATAATATTTACATGATATCATATTTTGTGGAAAAATACATTGAAGAAACTGAACGAACAGTTGCCTCATCCAGACTTGCAGAAATAAACAGATGAATAATATTTGCACGATATCATATTTTGTGGAAAACATACATTGAAGAAACTGAATGAACAATTACCTCATCCAGACTTGCAGAAATAAACAGATGAATAATATTTGCACGATATCATATTTTGTGAAGAAACATACATTGAGGAAATTGAACGAACAATACCTCAGAGACTAAAAGAACAACAATTTTCTAATAGAATACTTTTTTTTTAATAAAAATCAGCATCACCTGAACAAAACTACAACATCATTTATATTATCAACTAGAATAAATAGCAAATTCTTGAATCCACACAACACCGGAAATATAAAAGCAGCCTTTTTCATCGAAACTTTCCACTGACTCTAATCCTCAATTAAGGCATAGATTTCGATCAAATGTGTTTTTCTTTCTTTTTCAAAGAACACAACAGACAACAAGAAAATATATCTATTCAGCCCTAACACTAACTTAACTCTGATGATGTCATATGATCTTCGTACACTTGAGCCATGGTTTACGGTCTCTTTCTTCACATTTGCAATCTATTTCGGTTTAATTCTACACTCCTCAACTCTCACATCCGCGTTTTTCTCCTGTATTATGTCACACAACTCATGATTTTCTACCTTATGAAGACCTATTCTAACAGTTCGAAAAATCATCCTAAGGAGACATATATAAAGACCATAAAAGTTTTCAATCTATTGCATTCTTCTATTTCTCTCAAACAAATCTAAAGGTTACTCTTCCTTGCGGTGAATAAAATATATTTCAGCAAAATACTTCTTTAAAGGATCATGGTTTGTTTGTCGAAAGCTAAACAAAATCCCTGATTTTGAAGTGATAGACTAGAGGGAAAGCAGCTAGTTAACATCACCCATAACCATCTCTTGGGCTACTTGTGTCCGACCCAGAGTGCGGATAGTCATATTTTGGACGCGAATAGTAGACTCACAAATCCATAGTTTGGTACGTTAAATACTGGGTTGCATTTAGCCAAATAGTTATTGTGTACTTACGAAAATGGAAGAATCCAATTGGGTAGTCAGATTACTCAGATAAAATAAACTTTTTAATGTACGTTAATGGTAGAAAGGAAAGTTGTATATAAAAATTATAAAATAAAACGTAAAATATGTTATATGAGCTGATACTGATAAATAGAGGCTTTTATGTATGTATGTTGTCAAATGATTAATATTAATTTCATACTAAATATACCTTTACGGAAACAAGTGAAAAAACAAAAAAAAAAGTATTGTGATTGTTTGAAGTTAAGCACAAAGCAACACACTGGGTATCTGTGCTCTGCTCACCACGGGCATCGAAACCTGAATTCTAGCATTGTAAGTCCGTAGATATACCGCTGTGCCACTGGGGGGGGGGGACAACAAGAAAAGCAAATTGAAAGTATAGGAATGAGTACACCAAAAAAGTGAGGAAACAAGGCAGGAATGAGCATGGTGTAATAAACCTTTCTCTGTACAACCTCACAAGAAGGTGCGTCCAACATTCGGTCCATGACTACCTCGTTTATTCATTCTACCCTGTATACAATAAGCCAGATGGACTAAAGTTATCAAACATAATTATGCTTATCATACAATTACTAAAGGTGTCTCTGAATCGAATTATTGGAGGCAATACATGTACTGTAAAGTCTGATTATACGATACCAGAAGAATCAGATATTCGTGTGAACCCATAACTTGTATGTTTTTTTTCTTTACAACTTGTCCCACCTTTTACAACTGCATGAGAAGGCAATAAGATTCCGTACATTAAATATATAGGTGGATTAAAATACAAAGATAAAAAGTCCTAAGAATTCTTTTTTTTTGTGTATCGACGTCATGGATTCGCTACTGTCTGTTCAAAAGTAGAAGAATCATAGACACAGTTTTGTATGTAAGTTGTATAATATCATGAACACAGAAAAACGAAGTAGGCATGGACCAGATTTTGTACATGCTACCTCGTAAGGTTGTAAAAAAATGTTTTACTACACCATGTCCATTCCTACCTTGTTTCCTTTCTTTTTGGTACACCCATTCGTACACTTTCAATGCTTTAAGTATCATTTTCCACATGTTCATGCACTTTTTCATATATGGTAATAAGATCTTATGTATCATTCGTTCATTTGTGTTGATATCCTGTCTGTATATCACCAGTGTAGGTGTGCACCATACTATTATAATATGTACAAATAATGGTATGTAGTGTGCATTCTCTTCACGTATGGTGTGCGTGTACACATTGTGAGTGTGCATGTGTGAGGTACATGTGATGGCACTCACTGTATAGTGTACAATGTCATTTGGATGATATTATATGAGTTGTGGTTGTGTGAATATGCTATGGGTTGATAAGTTATCTAGTCAGTTTAATTATTTGGTGATTTTTAGTAGAGAATAACGCTAGCACGTGGTACTTCTGCTATTGTTCTATTTGGTGCACTTATAACTATGGTATGTCAGTTTATTGCACAGCTTGAAGTGTTCAACAATGTCAGTCAGTGAGATTTGTGGTTTTGTGAATTTTTTGTATCTGCTTTGCTGATTTTCTCAAATAATTCGATGACTTGTAATGTTGTATGTGGTATATACATAACCTAAGTGTGTCTCTCAAATACTTTTGAAGATTTATTATTTGGTTCTAAAGATGTATATGAGTAAATAATTTGTGTTGCATGTATTGTGTATGCGTCCCTTTCCTACTGTAAATACCACCGTACTCACGATAGGATGAATTTATGTTAATGATGATGATGATGATAGTTTTGAAAGATCAGGAAATGAAAGCATGAAAGTAATGAGAATTGGAGTTAAATCTCATCGAGAACAATTAAGTTGCTGCTAATGAAATGGGCGTTTCATATGGCATGATCAAGTCCAGTTTTTAGCATCCAAGAAAAAAAGAAAAGATTCTGAAAAACACTAGTTTTTTTACAAGAAATAAAAAGAATTATTTAGTTTAAGTATGATAAATTAGTCAGACGCCTTTCAAATATAAACTACTAATAAATCTGGTGAAAAAAGATTTGATACACTCTCAATGAAACTTGCTCAAATAATAATTTTAAAATATGCATTTAAAACAGTATAGCGTTTCATCAATCACTGGCAATCATTTTAAAGGGCTCACCAACAACAGATCTTTGTGTCAGAACTATTTTTTATATAAAATAATCACCAAATTGCGTGTTAAACCCCTCAAAGCTTGTCGTATTTCAATTTTAAATGTCATAAACTGAAATTTATTGCTCGTCGTTTTAGAAGTTTGAAAAAAAAGAATATATATATATGTATATATATATATATATATTGTAACCTCGAATGTTGAAGACATTACAGTGATTTGGTTTGTAGCTTCGTAAATTCTAACGTAGTATTAGAATAATCTTTGAAAGCTTACTTTAAAATTTGTTTGAATATTTAGAAGTATGGATGTCACCAAACGTCCTGTGTAATAAGAATGTTAATATTTCACTATTATAACATTAAATACTTTATATTTATTTACTTATTAATAAATATTTATTTTCATTGTTCTTTAATATCTCATTTAATTAAAAAATATTTTTGTAATCGGTCTGATACAGTTTTTCTGACTTTCACACTCATATCCATTTTAAATATGTCAAGTGAAAAGAAAACCCACTGAAAGCGACGAATATGACTTATGCAATAACACCTTCTCATATCAATATTATAAGGTATAAAATATTTACTTTATGCTATCAAACATTAATCTCAAGCTTTGGTATGTTATCAACAGAACGTATGTTACAAATCCTCAATAGGTGTCTAGGTTTCATAATTACTTTCTTCTAGATAACTGCAATTCATCCATCTATCTGGAGTGTGTGAAAATCTTTTGATTTCTATGGCAAACAATTGCAATTTTTGCTTTACAATCATAAGTTAGTGCGATTATAAAAATTTATAAAAGGACAAAAATAAATAAATGGGTAGAAGAAAATATTGAGTGTTGAGGTAGATTTACTGATGTAAACTGCACAGCGTTTAGGACATCAAATTAAACACTCTGTGGTCCTGGGAGTAGCTCATATGTATAAAACGAATTCACATTTGATTATCTAGTTTTAAACATTTTATGTTTTATGTTTCATAAGACTTTCATTAAGCAAATTTACAGTTTAGTCACTGAATTTGTATAGGGGTGTGCTTAAATAAGCTGCATATTGCATATGATGCTTTACAAACGTAATTACATATTATACGTTAGTTAAAAAATAAAATGAAAACGTTTATTCCTGTTAAAACAAAAATCACTGGTGTCCGGTTCTTTGACACTGTTGCTCATCACACCAGTAAACAATTCAGATTTTTTGTATACCCAAAGAAACCTGAAAGTCCACGCGGTGATTCGACGATTAACTAATATTTTTTTTTTGTTAGTGAACATCCTGTTAATAAAAGAATGTGTTTATAGTTCTCATAGTTCTGAATGACATGTAGTTATGTGTGTATTGGAAATACAAAGCTATGTCCGTAATTGGATCATATTTTTTTTTAACAACATTACAACGGAGATGATTTTAAGAATACCTTATTATGGTTGAATGGTACAAAGATTAGTGCGAAGTAATGATGATCATTATCCTTTAGCTGCTTTATCCTTCAAGATGTTCATGTGATGAATAGATGCATTTCTGCTTTTCAGTGGAATACAATACGAAGTAACCCAGAATGTCTGCAGCCCTTACGATGGAACAAAAAGCAGATTTGCTGGTTTTCTTCACTCGGCTTCACTCATAAACATATCCATTAGAGGGGGAGATGGCGACTTTTATCACAATCGATTTCCAACATGAAAAGTAGCTTGTCTCAAAAAAGCGGATCTACTTCAAATAATTTTTACTTTTTAATATTTAAAATAGTGTTTAAACTATGACCCGTTAATTTCACAATGCTCTAGTAAAACACCGTTTCCTACTTAAGACGAGTAAGGCTAGGACTTTATTACATTGAAAATAACCTTCCTGTTCAAAACCGACGATGACATTCACCAAAACATTTGTTATCGTCCTATGTGTTAATGACTTAGTAAGTATGCCTAGTTTTGTTTGCAAGCTATTTTCTAATACAATTTCCGAATTATCTATTTTTTACATCAAGATGATTATGGACCCTCCATTTTTAGCAAGAGATTCCACTGGCGGGTCCATTATAGAGTGTAGACAAAAAATAAAAAAATCAAGCTAAGACTGTTCCTGGAGCCACTTTCTGTAATCACAGGCCCTTTGATCCCAGCCAGCAATAGATTATGCCTCCACATTCTAAAAATCCTGGATCGCCAGTGAATTCTATGAGTTGACAAGCAGCTGTAATTTTATCTATTAAGATTTTTTTAACTTCAAAAATAAAGGCCCTTAACATTTTTGTTTATCGGAAGTAATAATAAAACATTCATGAGAAATATCGTGAAAGTACGAGATACCAAAAATAAGGTTACTTTATCTTAGCTTTTAGAAATGTGATTACAGTTCTTGGTGTATTAAGATTAACATTGAATTGTTTAAACTCACAAAACTGGTTCCGATAGCTCATTGTGTTACTGCGACTGTTCTACATGAGAATATCAAATAATGAAGCAAGCAAATGTCATTAAATATTTTCGGTATTGTGACATCTCCTTTCACGTGTGATACTGAAGTTATTATTTGGAGGTTATTTTAAAACAATGCTTTCCACAAGCTACTACAGAAGTAAATCGAATCCTTTTTTATGGGAAACAAAGTATTTTGATGAATAAAGTTTCGTTTTAAATTCAATTAATATACATAAGAAGAACAGAGAGTAGTAAGTACATTTTGCAATTTTTTTTCCATTAGTTGTGTTTGATAAAAACAAGTTTAAAAAGTAAAAGCATTAAAGCATGTAAAAATAAAACTTGAGTACACGAAAATTAAGTATTACTTAAAATAAAAGACAAATATATAGAGCTCAAACACACCAAATGAAAAAATCAGATCTATAAATATCTTAAATGAAAATGGATAAAAAAGCAAAAGCTGCGTTATAAAAAATGTAAATTCTTATGACGAAATGTGTCAATACAAAAAAACAGAAAACAGGTTGCTTGTGGTGTAATGACAACCATATAAAATGTGATGTAAAAATATGTTGACAAAACTCGTAACATCTTATCCTGAGATGATTCATTTGAAGTAAACTGTATATTGTTTTAAGGACAAACTTCAAGTCTGATGTGCGATAGAGTATTATGGGTTTGAGGATCAGCTTCAAGGATTAATTGTTTACAAACATATATTTACAATAAACTACAATTTTGTAGATTCTAAGCATATTTTTATAGTCTTGTACAAATCATTTCCAATTTGTTTAGGATTTTCAAGAATAAATATTCAAGATTAATAACGTTTTATAACTGAATTACTTTCAGTTTGTTTTGATTGAGAATATAATTTGTACACATTAGGAAAGGGATGAATGTTTACTTATCTGATCAAATTATATTTCGCTGAGCCCGAAATATGTTGTCAAATTCTTCTGCATGCACAAGGCATGTAATTTTTGATTAAATGCGTGGGTTGTATATAGTAATCTACCATTGGACTCCAGTTTACTAATTTTCATTGTGCATTTTTCTACGACATCAATTTCTTCAGTCCAGTATTGAACCCAGAGGTTTTTAAGTTTTTTTTTTGTAGTAGTTGTTATACTTATCCTCATTATTCGAGTCAACGTGCAGCGGTCCTTAATAAGTTTATAAAGGTATTCATACAATAAGAAGATTTAACCAGTTGGATCATCTTAGAAACTTTTTATCTTGAAACCTTAATAGTTTGTACGGCTTTGTTACAGATGCACCTGGGAGATAGGCCTGCATCATTACCTCTTTAAACAAACCATGTTTGTCTTCATGGAACCGATGAGAGAAAGGATAAATGGCCATTATTTATCTACAAAGATGACGTTTGGGAATAAGGCTACTTGTGACTTTTCTGTTGAATAGACAGTTTTGTCATTTATCTATAAGGCTAAGAAGCCTGACGTTACTAGGAGATCTTCAAGCTCTAGCAGTTTGTGTAATAGAAAAACATAAACATAATACTAGTAAACAGACAAATATGATATGTGAACAGATTAGAGAATAATTATCATTATTAGTGTAGATATATGAATATATCAGTGAAAGTACCCGGCTTCGCTCGGGTTGTTAGGCTGATATATTCTACATGGCTTTGTCATTGTGAGTATTCTGAACCTATTTTAGCATAGAAGAACAGTCAAAAATAGTTTAAACATATATTAATTTCCCCAAAACTTAAAAAAAGTTGCAAAGGTACGATAATAATAAAAATTTTATAGATAATTATAGATACCACTATACATCACGTTACCAAACCTATATAAAAGCCAGCGTGTGTCACGTCACATCACCCTTGATTTCTCAAAATAAGAGGAGTCATAAAAGCCAAAATGCATATATTTAGATAGAATGGTTTGTTTAATGTCTGCCCATTACGATTTTAGTAACGGGGGTGAAAGAGTGTAGTGAACGTTAGTATGATTTAAAGAAATTAATAAATAAGTCTAAAGTAAAGACATAGTGTGAGATAACCCAGCTTAAAGCCAAGTGCATAAAAGTTATCATACAAGTAAAAATATCGATCAAATTTTAAACTTAAATCGCACGTGGACAATATAAGTAATAATACCCAGTTGCACATCCTCAGGGTCTACTTAGCATCGGTGCAAAATTTCAGAATTCTAGGTTCTTTCCTCTTTGCGCTATGGCGATCACACACACACAGACACGCCTTTTTATTATTATAGATGATACTAGCGAAAGTATCCGGCTTCGCCCGGGTTATAATATGTTGATAGTGTGTGTATTCTGAACCCAGTTTAGCATAAAAGTATAATCTATATCCTTTTTTTTTGCTAAGCAACATAACATAAAAGCCGTTGTTGGAACGCATTGTTACAAAAACGCACTGGCTTTTCTATATATTAGAGGTTGCTATATAAGGAATCACTTCTTTATTATGTGGTTTTTCGCTAGCTTGCCTCATTAAAAAGATGCACAGGCGCATACACGTTCGCACGTGCGTGTCTGTGATTTCTATTTGTAATATAAGGAAATACACCATTAACTAATGTTTGATACAATTATTGTGACAGTATAGATTCTGAATGACCAACTTATTCACCCCATCGCGATGTTGAGAAAAACAGTGTTCACTGATTTGGCAACCAAAACTAAAATATCATTGATAAATCAAATATTCACACTGAGTGTTATTAAGAAAAACTATAGACATTATTAGATAGCTAAGAAAGTGTCACCGATGCACCAAAAACGTAGTACCGATATTGTTAAAAGGAAAAGTATAATCACTGTTTTGAAAAAAAAAAGTAAACAAAAAAAAAAACTGTCACTGTTACACAGTTGAGAGAAATAATATTCACTGACTTGGCAACTAATAAGATATTATTGGTACATAGAAAAGTTCCTACTGATGTTATTGATTATTCTTGACCTGATAGTACCTCAGAGAATTTCATTCATTATCCAAATTTTGGTAATAATATTCACACTTCTTTTCTATGTGGTTTTTTCACTAGCTTGCTTCATAAGAAGATGCACACGCGCATGCTCGCACGCACGTGCATGCCCGTCTGATAGTCTGTGATTTCTATTTGTAATATAAGGAATCACTTCTTTTCTATGTGACTTTTCTCTAGCTTGCCTTATTAAAACGATGCAGGGCCTACTTAGTTTGGGTGCAAAATGTCAAGTTTCTAGGTTATTTCATCTTGGAGCTATCGCGGTCACATTTCTTTTCTATGTGGATTTTCGCATAAAAAGATACGCACGCCCATGCCCACACGTAACTAGAAAAGTTTGTTTTGAATTTCGCGCAAAGCTAACACGAGGGCTATCTGCGCTACCCGTCCCTAATTTAGCAGTGTAAGACTAGAGGGAAGGCAGCCAGTCATCACCACCCACCGCCAACTCTTGGGCTACTTTTTTACCAACGAATAGTGGGACTGACCGTCACATTATAGCGCCCCCACGGCTGAAAGGGCGAGCATGTTTTGGTGGAACGGGATTCGAACCCGCGACCCGCAGATTGCGAGTCGAGTGCCCTAACCACCTGGCCATGCCGGGCCAACTAGATAAGTAATAATACCCAGATGCACACTCGCATGCACGTGTGCATCTTTTTATGGCTGTCACATCTATGCTTTTTGTGCATGCACGTAGATAAATGATAATATCCAGGTCAAACTCTGAGTCCACTTGGTGTGGGTACAAAATTTCAAGTTTCTAGGTTCTTTACCCTTGGAGCTATGGCGGTCACACTTTTTTTCTATGTGGTTTTTTGCTAGCTTGCCTGATTAAAAAGATGCGCATGCACGTACGCACGTGGATAAGTTATAATACTTAGGTGCACATCCTTAGTATGGGTGCAAAATTTCAGGTTTCTAGGTTCATTGCTCTTGGAGCTATGGCAGTCACATATTATTTTATATGTGTTTTTTCGCTAGTTTGCCTTATAAAGGGATGCGCATGCACGTAGATAAGATAAGTAGCACCCAGGTGCGCACCCTCAGCATGGGTGCAAAATTTCAGGTGTCTAGGTTCTTTCCCATTGGAACTATGGCGGTCGCGATTCCTTTCTATGTAGTTTTTTGCTCGCTTGCCTAATTAAAAAGATGCACATGCGCACACGCACGTGGATAAGTAATGATATTTAAGTCCACACCCTCAGGGTCCACTTTTCGCACTATTTCAGGTTTCGAGGTTCTTCTCTCTTGGAGTTATGGCGATCACACCCATACAAACAGACACGCCCTTTTATTATTTTAGATATATCTTTAGTAATTTATGTCATAGTAAGGTCAACTATAACTGACATTCTTACTGATACATGTGCCTTAGTATTAGGTGTCAATCACTTGTTAACGTAATAACAGTTAGGAATAGACAAGACATACGTAACCCCCTTTCCTAAACAAGATACGCACGCACACAAACACACATATGTATATTATAAAAACATATAAATACAGACAGATAGAGAGAGAGAGACAGGGGGAATTAATATGCACGGCGACTTCATATTATTGTTGCTATTTAAAACCTTGTCTTTCTGTGATAATCATTTCTAGGAGGAGCTGTTTATTATTAAAAACTCCATTGATAAAGTTTCTTTTCAACTGTAACTTAAAATTATTCGGAAATTGTATTATTTGAGAAAATAGCTGGCAAAAGAAAGAACGCTAGTTGATATTGGCGCATTGGTCATACCATACGATCTCAATGCTTAGATTTTGATATGCTATATATATATAACTGGAACAATTTTTTTAATAGTATCGATAAACTATTGTGTAACTCTGTATTCAGGTGCTGAGTTAGATGCTATTCTTGACATTCAACTAAAGCTATTTCCTATAGCAACTTACCTAGAAAAAAATTCATGATCTTACTACATCAGTTAATATTAAAACAAGTTGTACAAAATGCAATATAAATGAACAAAACCAAGTTTGTTTGTTTTTCGAATCTATGAAATCCAAAAAGTGTTAAGCAGTTAAGCTGTCATGTGTAATGTCATGGCACTTTTGAAGACCAAAATATTTTCTACGTAATTTTACTAAAGGTTAAGGCGTATTTGTTGTACAAAGATATAAGGTATTCTAATGATCATATACAATTCCACATTTTCAAAATTTAGAACGTTAATTTGTCATTGTCACATAATATCTAAATTGCATACAGGAAGAGAAGAAACAGCTGTAGTTATTGACTAAAACTGCGAAACTGTACAGAACAGTAATAAACCAACGATTTTATACCCTTAGACAGGCATATTCAGTAAGCAATTTTGTGAAAACAATGTAGTCACTGTTTATTTATATTACTTTAACTATGGAGCAAAATAGAGAAAATCTATAAAGTTAATGTTGTGTTTACTAAAGTAGACGTTATAAATACTAACCAATCACAATTATAACTCAATTCCAAATATTAATTTTTTTAAGGATTAAATAATTTCTTAAGGAAATTATGGATAGTAAGATTTCATTAAAATTTATTAGACTGTTTACTTGCTGTTAGTGTTATCAGCATCAGGCAGTTTCCCATTTAAAATAGAGAACGTCTAGGATTATAAAAAGTTATGAAATTTAGTCAAATAAGCGTAAAGCTTAAATTTCATTTTAAGTGCGTCATACTTTAATCTTCTCTATAAACAAATCAAAATGGTAAATACATTTAATAATGGACTTAAATATGAAACCTCAGATAAATTCAAAGATCAATATATAAGTAGTTTTGTACTCGTTTCATGCATTTTGTTGTGAGAAGTATTTTACACATGACGTCTCAGCTCTCAAGACGTTTGAGTTACACTAGGAAGTCATTCATTTGCTATAGCAACACAGATTTGCGTATACAATTGTTTAACGAGCAGTATCTAGACATGATATGGTCAGATGAGTGGACATTATACCTATTACCTATCAGAAATGTGTGTTTATATGTGTAGAGAGACTAAGGAAGCGTGCAACCTTAATGAGTCGTTCCAACTTTGTCGGCTGTAAAAAATTCATTATGGGTTACTGCGCAGATTGTCGGTATAAATTTCGACCATTTATTGTTCTAAAAGACAGAATATGAGCTATTCACCTCAAAAACATTCTAAGAAACTAGGTTTATTACTCAGTCATTCCCAAGGAAACTATAAGAGGTTCTTTTGAGCACGTAGTGTTAACCCTACATTTAGTTCTTTATCTGAAAGTCATTTCTATTTTTTCCAATCTCTTTACATCCATTTTTCAGGTTACTCATGAAAGGTGTTGATAATGGTTGAGATGCAAAGTTTGGAATTAAAACAAAAGATTAAACACTTATTATACTTATTAATATACATTAAATTCTTGTTTTAAGTATTTTCACTAGTGTTAAAGAATAAAACATACATAAAAGTAAGATTTAAATTAGGAATTCGAAGTAAAAGTTGTCTTTGCCTCTAATCTGGGAGCCTGTTATTATACTAAAGTCATAAATGCAAGTTCATTTACGTTTTTAATTTAATTTCAGTTTTAAAACAACTTTCGTTTGTATTTGTTACATCACATCGTATTTTATTCACATTTCTTTGTTTTCTATAACATAATTGGAATAATCAATGCACGAATTATTTAGTATGGAAAATTACATAGCAAATTATAATTTAACAAATAATAGACTTTCAGTTCTAGAGGAGGAATTACTGTGATCCTTCTATTATTAATTATTTATCAAGTGCCAAAGCTGCTGGTGAAGTCATTCATAATTGAAAATAAAAACGTTAGAAGCTTCATTCTTTTTATACATTGTACATATTATACCTCTACTTTCTGAACAAATAAGTATAATATACATAAATTATAGATATTCTGATATCTATATGCAAAAAACATTCAATTTTCTTCTTATATTTGATTAATCTTCAAAAACGTAATTAGTTGGAACAGTTAATAAATATAGTAAAGTAAAACAATGATGATATATTTTCGCTTTGGGATTAAATGAAATTTATTCACAAAGTATCTTAGTTCTCTGATGGGTCAGGGTTAGTTTTACGAACTTACAATGTTAAAATCCATGGTTCGATTCTCTGCAGTAGACGGAGTGCAGACCGTCCATTCAGTTGCTTTGCGCTAAAGCAACAACAAAGCAAACAAACAAAATGTATTAAATAATGTAATCTGTATCAGTTAATTGTAACACATATTTAATTAGAAGAAACTTATACAATAGAATGTACTTGTGCTCTCTTTATAAGTAATTATATATTCTAAAAGATTTAGTTCTTACTGGTCTTTTTCTGCTTATTAGTTTTGTGAATGCATTTTACAGCGTGTTCTAAAACCAGTATAAAAGTGTTAAAATGATTCGAAACTAGGAAACGAGGTGTTCACAATTGTTATGATACTTTTATGTTTTAATTTTACATATATATATATTATTGGAAATAATTATATAAATGGTAAAGAAAAATGGTATAAAAGACAAATGCTCCAGTAAAACTACCCATTTATTATGTGGAAATGACCTGCACCAGAGAACAGTCATGTGCTGGTTGTTTACATCGTAAGTTGGTGGTCATTCAACCAGTAAAAAAGTGTTACAATAGTATAAAGCATATAATAGTACGGGCAATCATACTATGATCAGTAGTTGTGGAAAAAAATCCAGTCATGACTCACACGACTGAAATGCCGCATGAAATCGATAAAAGTGTAGAAAGTTAATTATCTCGGGGTATTTTCTGAACAAGAAAGAAGAAAGTCAAGAAGAGATCCTTAATGGAAGTACAGGTGGGAATTTTACCTTAGCACAGTAAGGTACACATTATTTGGCTCGAAATAATTTTGATGAACGTGTAAATGCTCGAAAGCTGCTCTTGAGAATAGGTAACCAAACCAAAAGGTTTAAAGAACCGTCGAACCACAAACAGTAAAAAGAGGAACGCTGGAGATATGTTCTTTAGAGAGGAACCAAAATTCGAATCGTTCAGCAACAATCAATAATATTTTTTCTTTGGTGGCTAAGAAGAGAATGATATCATAGGCAATGTATATCATCTACAGTGAAGCATGGTGGGTGATCAGCCAGTTATATTAGCGGTCTATAAAATCTGATTGCACCCTGACTGCTGACATGTACAAGGAGATTCTAATCCTCGGGGGCCCGGCTAATCAGGCTTCATCTTCCAGCAAGATATTGATCCCAAGCATATAGAAAAAGCGCTGAAACGATATATGGACACTGTATAGAGTCCAATAGAGCACTCAAAGCCATGTCGTAACCCACTCAGTCTGAATAAGAATGTTATTGAGGCTGTATGGACTTACGCAAAACTGAAGATAAAAGTCAACTAATCAACTTGGCTGAATTATGGGAAGTAATATAGAACAATCTTCCACATTGATAAACTGAATGACAAAAACAAAAGTTGAATGCTCTGTGTAAAGCAACTAGCTCATATACAGAATACTGCTAGATAGTATTGCGTTTTCGTGATGACTTTTTGCTTTTAATAAATTTACCATCTAGTAGATATTTCTCGTTGTTTGTGTTCCGTTGACGCAGTTCCTGAATTATTTCCTTTGCTGTATACATTTCAAGTATAAAAACAAATTCATTATAGTCCCTAGATCGGTATTTATTGAAAAAAAACAACAACATAAATCTATTTAAAAAAGTAAAAGGATGGGAGTAAAATATTAATACTGAAACAGTATGAAAAAATAATAGAAAATACTTCACGAATGGATATTTTATCACCGTTTGGGTGAAATTAATCTCAATTTTGATTTGCAAGGAGACATTTTACTTATTATCAATCAATCTGAAAATTCTAATGAATTATGGAAATTGGTATATGTAGCAGTATTTGTAAAGCCTGAAATTAGAAAACCTTAACAATATTTTTAAAATTATTTTTGATCATATTTATATAAAATTCGTAGTATATGAATGCATGAGCATAATTTATGTAACAGCATAGGGAAGATAGCGTGTTCACAAACCGATTAATGTATTTGTTATTTTCTTCGAGAAACTTTCCACACACGTGTATTCCTGGACTGAAATAAAAACTTACCAATGTTACT